TCTCTCTCTCTCTCTCTCTCTCTCTCTCTCTCTCTCTCTCTCTCTCTCTCTCTCTCTCTCTCTCTCTCTCTCTCTCTCTCTCTCTCTCTCTATCTATCTACAGCCTCTCCTCACTTTAAAATGTGGCATGCCAACCCCCATAAGGATTTGGGTTAGCATGCATCTCTAAAGAGAGAAAAGAAGGCACGCCCAACCCTAGTTTTAGGCTAGGACATGCCACTTGTGGCATGCCTCCAGGTTTAAAAGGGTTTTTAGAAACCCTAATTATGACCCATGCTCTCAGCCCCCTAGATTTCAGATAAGGGTGTTCCAGAGTGCTTCCCGATTCTAGATCGGAGGATTCAACAGGATCTAGAATCAAGTGCGTCCTTGGTCACATGCTCGGGTGTGGGGGGTCCCACATCCTAAAGGGGAAACCCTAGGCAACAAGTTTAGTAAATTTTCCCATTTTTACTTTATCTTAGTTGTTGCTCTTGGTTCATATTTTCGTTTCCTAAATTGTTAGAAAGAATTTTTTATTTAAATTAAGTATTTGGGCAATAAAATTTAAAAGATCCAAGATTGTAGCAAGTTTATTTATATGGTATTTGTGGCAATTGCAAGTAGAAATTCCAGCAATTACTAAAGAAAAAGAAGAAAATTTTAAAATTTATACTTTAGAATTATAGATAGCCACTGCTTTCATTGGCATCAGAGCCAATCTTCTTACTGTCATACTTTACGGTTTTTTTTTTTTATTTCTTGAGTTAATAACATCGCAGCCAAAGCTTTTATGGTTGAATTTGAAGACTGAGAGGTAGATGAGAAAAACTATGTAAGTTGGAAGAGAAAGATAGAATATGTCCTCTTTGAAGAAGGACTTGAGAAAAATAGGCTGTCTTTTTGGACAAAGACCTAGTCAAATGCTCACAGAGAACCCCCTACTTGTCCCAAGAGACAATGATTATGAATGGAAAATAATAAGAGATGTTTATGCTCAGTGGGAAAGCAAGAATACTCTAACTAAGCATTTCCTTTTGATGGATAGGGACTCTCACACTGTCGA